AAAGCATTAAGTAAAGCATTTACTATAATTTTTCGTAAATATTAACTTATACAGATCAAATGCAAGGAATGGCAGATCAATTGGCGTCCAAGGAAGAATTATTTAGTCAATGGCAAGCAAAGGTATGAAAATTTTTATGAACGGTTAGTGAATTATGGAAATTAATTGACATTTAATTATAAAATTTTTTTCCTTAGTTGGTTGAACAGACACAAAAAGAACGCGATGTTCTAATTGAAGAGATGGATGAAGAACGCGCGCAATTTAAAGAACGAATCAATCAGCTCGAAGATGCTTTAAATCTTGCTAATGTAGAAATTACTAGATTAACTATCGAGATGGCTGACCTAACCAATTCACAAAAAAAGAGAATGTCAACAACTAGTACGACGGATGAGAATAGGTCCTCCTTGGATATACTATTTAATGGCAATGTTTGTTTCCGATTCATACATTCACATAATCTTTATAGTGTATGCACTAAACTGCAATCTTTAAATTTACTAGAAAAATAAAGAGGATGATCGATACGAACTCACGAAGCAAATCTTAGAGATCACACAACGAAGGATAAGTTTACAAACGGAGCTTACATTATTAGAAGACCAGTATGATGATTTAAAGGTAAATAGGGTACTAAATATCAAAGATCATATACGAAATTCTTATGTGGGTACTTTTTTTTATTTATATTGATGTAATTTCTTTTTTGACGATTGAAAATTAAAAAGATTCAATCAAATCAACTCTCGAAGGAGAACCAACTACTCCGACAAGAAAACGACACCCTCAAGCAACAGATCGGAAAAAAAATGTTTATGAGATCTCTAGAAGATGTTAATTTGAATGAATAAAATTTACATGTTTTGAGTGATGTGGGACTTTTATTGCTTGTCAAGAAAAAAGATTTTTTTGACTTGCGTAATATGCGGGTCATTGAAAAGTTTCACAAAATATTCTAAATACTTTGGAATGCCGCAAACTATAGATTATAGTTTAAATTGTTTATAGCTCAAATATATAGCTAATCGGGTATTGATTTATTCCGGTTTATCTGAAAAATTTCACATAGCTCATCCTTTGTACTCTGTAAATAGTCAAAGTTGTAGCAATTTGGGTTAATTGATTGTAGTTTCATAAATTAGGTGATCGTTTTGTATACCTTTTTTTTTTTGTATTATGCTGATTTGTTAATTCTATTGAAAATAAATTAAGTAGATTTAATTATGCTATCTAATAATGCAAGTATCACACCGAAAGTTATTTAAATTCCGTTTTTTGTTTTTCTTATATTAAAGAATGCTATATTGGTTGGTGTATGCATCAAATAAATCAGTTGTTATTTGTTAACTGAGTTTAGGTAAATATGATAAACTATATATTTAGATAAAAAAGGGATCTGTATTAATGATAAGCATTAAACATTTTGATATTATACGTTGCAGCACGAAAGTAATTGAAAATTACCAAAAACAGGCACGTTAAACTCAATTTACGTACTTACGCATTTCCAGCTGAATTTAAGACATGCAAAAGCTTTCTCCATTTGCTCTTTTCTTCATCTTTCGTGGTAATACAGAATATAAAATATTAGATGCACTATCACTATTAATTCTGATGTTTTAAGGATATAACGCAGCAGCAGCATGATGATCCGGAGACAATATTAAAAGATATTCCGAAATTTATCACACTACCATACTAAATCCATGAATGGCTAAAACTTTATTTCGAAATCTCGATGAACCTTGATTGTGTGTTAACACAATCAATCTCTCATTTATCAAAATGGATAAATGAATTGAATAAGACCATGAAAATGTTCTAGTTTTGTTTGTATCGACCAGCTAGGACTTGGTCGATTCGCGCCTTGCATAACGGCA